TTACAAGAATATTATATTTAATACAACTCATTTGAAAATTAAAATGGCAATACATATACTAAATGTTTACAATATTTTCATCAAAAAGTGTACTGTACAGAACGAGTGTAACTTACCGGGTGTGTTTGTTTACCTTGACAGTTATTTTTATAAAATAAACGCGGCATAAAAATTCTATCTTTTGTGTTTTTGTTTACCTTACTCATGCAATGGCATTAACATTTCTCAATGGCTCGTAGAGGTTGACAAAAAATTTCGATCTTTAAATATGAATAAAAATTCAAAATGGTTAAAATCATACCTGAATATTTTCGAAGTCGCTAGAACATTTTTGCTCAAAAATTGTGAATGGTAATTTCCGATCTTTACTCGAATCGAACTTTCATGCCCTTCATACGCCGGCATATATTTATGTATTTGTTTGCGTGTAGGTTAATTTTATTTATTTATTGTTTCTAAAAAGTGAATACTTTTTTATTGTGTGAATGAATGCGTCTTTTTGATTGAAATTTGCAGAAAAAAATATTAATTATGCAGTGGTATGGCCCATTTATTTGCCATCAGCAAAAAAAAATATTAATAATCAACGCGATTTTGCAGCCGCTTAAAACCTGCACAAATTATTAAATTTACAAAACTTCATACTCAAAAAACTTCTAAAAAATCTGATTAAAAAAGTCAAAATTTTAATGGAAATTTGTTAAATATTTCCAAGTTCTGTATAAAGTTTGAAAGTTTGATTTATATGGTTTTGGTTAAGGCATGAACCAGGTTTTTTGAAAAAATAACAAAAACAGTTTAACTTTATTTGTTTTTGTTATTTTATGGCCTTATAACAATTACATTCAACAATATTCAAAGGCTTTGCTTTCCACAATTCTTGAAAAAAGTTTAACTTTAAAAACCTTGCGAATATGTAACAAAAATAACCATGTACTCATCACTGCTCCCCACTGTATGTACATCCAAACAGTCCAAAAACAGTAAAGTCGGAATTGTAATGATCTCACCCCATAGGATTGTTCTATATCGAAAAAAGTGTACCCTTATTTTTATTTTGAAATCAAAAAACTTTAGAGGTCGCTCAAAGCGGTCAAAGATTTCCATGTATTTTTATATGGGAAAAAATATTTTTTGATAGAAATGGTATAGAATTCTTCTTCTATTTAAACATTTTTTAATACTAACGATTTTTTATTGGTCCCCCCATTGCATTTTTCGGTGTTTTTGGCGACCCTATAAATTATAGTTGCGATGAAAAAATGATTAAATAAACAATTGGGTGTTATTATTGGGAATCTCCTGCAGAGAATAGAGTTTTTCGATAGAAAAATATTTATTTTTAAGAATTCTATACCACTTCTACAAAAAATTATTTTTCCCATATAGAATAAATGGAAAACTTTGGGCTATATTTTTTTCGGTATAGAACAATCTTAGGGGGTGAGACCATAAAAACTCCGACTTTACTTTTCCACATGCATTTTTGGACCACCCCAATGTACATATTCGTTTGAATACCCGTAAATAACAGTTTTGTAATGATAAAATAGTGTGATAATTTTGACGCGCCGTAAACACCTCAAAGTTCAATTTCACTTTCATGCTGGGCAACATGGAACTCTCGCATTCGGGGCATACATACACCATAATGCGCCACCAATAGCTGTCCGCCAACACACGCACGCACTCGTACTCAACAACAAACGTGACATTGTTTACATCCGCCAGATAGACAAACTGCCGAATCGATGGACAGACGTCCCACACGGCGGCTATGAATTCATACACCTATAGAGCAATCAAATTGGTATTTTTGTACCGTTATAGAGGTGCTACTGCATTTAGGCTTAGTGATTTCAATGTGACCGCCATAGTATGGTGGCCAATTGGTTTGTCGTCAATGGCAATGGGCAATGGGCGATGGCAACGACAACGATAGCAAAGGTATATAATAAAAAGCCCATAATATATACACAGACCTACATACATACATATTTACATTAGACTGCATCACTCCCAATACAAAAAAAAAAAAGATCGGTACTGTGTTTCCCTTGGAATTATAAAATCTATTATATTTTAAGACTTCCACCAAATTGCGAGAGTCGTGTCGAAGCAAGTGGTTTTTCGAGAGTCGAATCGTATCGAAAATTTCATGGCATTGCCTAAAATTTCGACTCGAAAAACGAAAACGGAAAAACTTGGCAGCACTGCATAGTTTTCGACGATTCTCGTCGTTTGCTTATTTCAGCACGACATTAGACAATGCCAATGTTGCCGAGTCGTACAATATAGCCTAATTTACTACTTGCGCTGATAAAGATTTACGTGAGCTGGACCGATTTGAAAATACCTCAAAAAATGCAGTTTTTTATGAATCAAAATAGTTTGAAAAAAAAATCCCCCCAAATGACAAAACGGTTTAGGCTTAAAAAATTTGCATAAAATATTTTTAAAAGATTTAAAAAAGTTTTCAACGGATTTTTGGTGCTGTTTTTTAACTTTTTTCAAAGATTGGTATAAGGAAAACTTGCATAACTGAACCTAAACTATTCCGCTTTAGACTGTTGAGATATCATTGGAAAGGTATTTTCTCACCTTTTTATATCTTTGCTTATACATTCATTCAAAGGATGAAAGAGAAAGGTAGGATGAGCGAGCGACATTTCAAGTTGAATTAAGATGTGTTGGTATTTGAAAAAAGGGACGTGAATGAGTTTTTTTGTGGACAGAAATAAAAAAGAGTGGGAAAATGCCTTTCTACTGAGACCCATAAGCCAAGTTTTTCGTACATCAATCTTTGTAAAACGTCAAAAAACAGCGTCAAAAATCTCGTTATAACGATTCCGTTGAATAGATTTTAAAATATTTTTATGCAGGTTTTTTAAGCTTAATCTGTCATCTGAGGGGACTTTTTTTTCAAAAAGTTCTTTAAGAAACTGTTTTTGCTCATAAAAGACTCAATTTTTGGAGGTATTTTCAAATCGGTTCAGCTCACGTAAATCTTAATATTTTGCAAAATATTTTGGTGGACGTCTTCAAATGTAATAAATTTTGTAATCCCGGCGGAAAACCGCAACTTTTTTTGGTAATGCAGTCTAATGTACACACATACATATATCGATTGTGGCCTTAAATGGAGAAAAAAATATGTCTCTTCACCTGCGCTGCCTGCACCGCATGGCTAGCTCACCTTCAGGTTGCTGCAATCTCGTGTATGTATGTATGTACATATGTTGATTGTTTTTGTTTGTTTTATTTTTGTAAATAATGCCTACATTTTACAGCTACACATTTGTCTATATAATTTGTGGGCATACTGTCGTGCTTATGGCACGTGGCCCAAGTTGTATGGACTGGTTTGGTGGTACTCGCACCCAGTTCTTCGTCGCCGCATACCGCTCCACAGGCTCGATTTAGTATTTCATGCCTAGTTGTTGTTGGTGTACATATAAAAACGCGCCTGCGTTTGCGAAAGCGGTGTCCAAGCGCGTAATTATTCGCACTCGCATGCTTCGATCCGTTCTCCATTTGTGCGCCCAGACTGTTGGTGTGCAGCATCCGTATGACTGACTGTCTGCTTCTCTTTTCTCCATTGACGCGGCGGACAAGCCAGCGACCGATGGAGTAGTGTTGACGTCAAAGGTGGTCGCCACCGTTTTTTTTTTTTTGTCTAATTAAGGCCCTGGGTAGCATTCCTGCACCCGAGAGGTTGAGGTAGACAACTTTGACGCGGTTGCCCACAAATGGTAGTGTTGTTGTGGGGCAACCAGCGTAGCATTTGGAGGTACATATGTAAGAGAAATTGCAAAGCATTCACAGCAAAAAAATTTCGAAATTCGTGTGGGTTTGAAGCCTAACAGACTTTAGTCCGATGAAAACTACTTCGAGTCGCTAAAAAAAAGTACTTCTAATACAAATGTTGGGCGAACTTCTGAAACTTACTTGTCTAAATTACATGACGCGTACATAAATATTAGAGGGCTGCATGAATTCATTCAAACTTCTAGCCAAACAGAGTACAGTAGGTTTGAATATTTTACTTCACATACAAAACACTCAGCGTTTAGAATTTTGGAAGTTATGAATATACATTTTGTTTTAAATTTTCTACCTTCAAATGGAGGAATGTGAATGAATGAATGGAAAACATTCAAACCATTCAAACTCATTTGGGTAAAAGTTTTTTTCTACAAACAAGTTTTTTCGTATGTAATATGTATGTTTTTACATATGTGCATAGAAAAAATATTTTTGGATATTCATACAAAAAATTGTCATTTATTTCAAATCAATTTATTTTCATTTTGTTTGAATACTGTAATGTCGACACAAATATCAGAACAGCTATTCACTCAAATTCAGAAAAAATTGAAGCCAAAATCATTCATGCGTTTTGTATGAGTAATTCATAAACCGTTTTGAATGCATTCATGCAGCCCTCTAATACATATGTACTTGTGTTTGTACATATTCAAATGTTGTTTCGTTCGATGTTCGTTGTTTGCTGCTCGCGTATTGATTTGATTTCCACCAAAAGCCTCAATGGAAAAACATGATCCCACCGATTTGGTTTGCAAAATGTGGCAGCAATGAAAGCAGGAGCAACAGCAGCAGTGCAGCAGCAGAAGAGCGACAATGCCAAAGAGGTTTGCCTTCGCAACTCGCGTTTGATTGGCGGCATTGTGGATGCCAAGTTGCGGTGGCACAAACCGCATGCACCAATACTTGACTGACATTATTGGCCTGATTTGTTGTTAGGTTAATGTTTTATCTTATTGCCAGTGTGTGAATGTTGGTTGATGGATGGCTTCACATCGCTGAATGGAAAATTCGAAACTATTGGAAATTAATATGGAAACATGCATATTTTTTTCTACATACAAATGAATGTACCTATTAATTTTCACACTTTTACCTAGTTCACATCTCCATTCGAATGGATCGTATGGCGTATATGTATTAATTAATGTGTGATATATTTTTAATTTTCCCAGATTTCTCACATCGAAAGTTAACAAACGTAATCAAAACGAACGACCTCAATATTGCAATTTATTTACAATAATTGGAATCTAGAATTGCTGCTTAAACAAAAGGTGAGTAATTTCGTTATAAGATTTTAGTTATAAAATAATATATTAATTTAAATGCGTAGAACTTTGAAATAAAAGAAAATAAAAGCACATTTAGAGTACTCACAATACCTCTTAAGGGGGTTATCTAAGGTCATTCGTAGCAACCAAGAATATCAGTTTTTTATTTAGAGTATTCAGCATATTGTATTTAATTGTCGATATAATTTAGAAAAACTTAAAGAAAAGTCACCGAGCAATTCACCGAGGTATAGATAAAAATTCTTTGCTCGTTCTCTAGCCATGCCTGCACATTGGCCTGCGCCTTAGTTGTATGGAGAAAATTTTTTTGTGTTAAGCTTTTGGATGCAGAAATATTCCTTGAGCATCTATTATTATTATTTATATATTAATCCATATTTACATACTTATTATTTTTTTAGAACAAACTTTTTATGGTATACCATGCGAAAATCATGCTTTTTCTATCAGAGTACCGTGCTTTTTTTTCAAAAGCAAAATTTGTTAAGTTAAACATTTTTTTTTTAACCTCTTCAAATTTATTAAGTAGGTTGACTTTAGGGCTTGACTTCCGTTTCTGCATAAGGCTTGCAATGGGGGCGTGAATCAAATGTTTGTATCGCGAAAAAAGCTTCATCAAATTTATCCAAACTCAATATGCACATTTCTCGTGAGTTTATCTCACCATTTTGTAAAAATGGCCAAAAGCGGAAGAGACCACGTTCACTTTCCATATATTTTTTCCAGGTATTTTTTGTTTGACTTATTTTCAACACATCAGCCAACAGTTATCAACTGAATCAGACGAAGGCGAGCGGTATCATCAGCTTGCTCTTCCTTTCGAGATGAGGTGCACTTTTACTAAACTTTATTTGACCATTAACGTTTTCAATTGACTTATACCGTTTTAAAGGTATAGAGGAAAGCAATCTCCTGACGCAATATTAGCGGAAACTTGTTGGTGGATTATGAAGACGTACAAAGAACGAGAGAAAGACACGCAAGAGGAAGTAATCGAGCGCGACATAAACAATTTACTGGATGATTACATACGTTGTATCTCACAATGCATATGAATAAAATTTTGTAATGAAAATTTTATTTTTTTTAAATGCAAGGACCAAATTTTGAACGCCAATATCTTTTGAAAGCTATTCAAAATCGGTAATATCGACCGGTGTTGGTTTGTTTTTCCGTAAGAAAAATGTACACTGTGCAAGTAATCGGTCATTTAATGGGTTTTGGACAATATTTTTTTATTTTTTATTATTCAACAAACGACACAAGGGCTAACAAATAATTCACCTCGAAAGGTTTTGATATAATCGCCACACAAAAACCAAAAACAAAATACATGTAAATTTTGTTTTTGTACGGTAAGATCATAGGTTCAAATGTATCCCAATAATAACCAGAAACTGAGTTCCTATTAAAGTTTAACAATATCAATTCTTAACAAAATCCAAAATTCAAAAATGTTAGATAGGGCCTTTTTATATTAAGGTAGGTTGGGTTAGGTAAGGTGGCAGCCCCATGTAACCGGAGTTCACTCAGACAATGTGGGATTGTCCTTTGTGATTTATCGATAAAACGTTCCGAGCCGATTATGTATTTAGGAATTCGGCTAATCTCAATGCCGCAGAGCTCCTCGGGGCTATTTAGAAAGGGAGAGCCAAAGTACTGCAACCTTCGCCTCACAAATGCTGAGCACTTAAGAAGGGAGTGCTGATATGATTCCATTATATTAAGGTAACGATATGTACATACATATAGTGGTCCACAAAATAGTAGGAGTGCGATATTTTGGATATTTGTCTTTAGTTTATTTAATGTTTTTTTTTTTTTTATAAAAATCAAGCCAAATAAATTCAGATTTCAATCTTTGTACACATATTTTAAAAATTCTGCGAATTTTCACCAAAATTTCAAACATTTTTATCAGCATTTTTAGAAAAAATTTTGGTATGCAGTTTTGTAGCCCATTTAATTCTAAAAAATCCCGTTAATTTTTCTAATTATTTTTTTTTGCTTGCAGTGTACCTTATATAAAAGAAAATTGTCGAACATATTTTGTATGGAAAAAACGTGAAACACCTTCAACCAAAAAAAAGTCTCCAAAATCAACAGGATTTTTTACAAATTTGAAACTTGCACTTCGTTATACTGAATGGGCTACGAAACTACATAGCAAATTTTTTTTTTAAAGATTCTCATTAAAAAGTTTGGAATTTTGGTAAAAATTTGCAGAATTTTTATAATTTTTGTACAAATTTTTAAATGTAAATTTATATGCAGTTTGTTGTATACCACCTAGACTTAAAAAAAAAATACACGTTAAATAAACGAAAGACAAATGCCAAAACTGGTCAAAATATCGCCCTCCTGTTATTTTGTCGACAACTGTACATATTTGTATTCATATTTAAATACAATCATACAAAAGGAAAATAATTCCTTATTAAATGATGAGTTGAATAAATATATTGTAGACCAGGCGACAGCAGTGGAAAGGCACAGGATCTTACAAAGGCTCCACGCTGTCGCAGCTTCGTGACATTTTGTCCTTTCAGCGCTGAGCAAACAACATGAAAGTGCTCGTTCGTTCAGTGAAATGCCGCACACGCGCAAGCACACTGTGTACGATGGAATGGTTGGAGCTTGTATTTGCACTTTGTAGACAAAATGGTCGCCGCTAGGCGCCACAGTGTCGCGCCAGTGGAGATTTCGTGGCGGCTGGCTGCTGTGTGCGTGTGCGCTTCTTTAGCAAGCACTCAATTTTGCGCTTTTTGCAATGAATGTCAACGTGTGTGGGTAGCGATAGGTTCTGCGCTATTTTATAGGAATTACTTAGATTACTTTACGAGTGCTACGAATGTAAAATTTTTTATGCTCTACCACTCGTGGAAAGTAGGAGGACATTTAAGCGCCTGGGACAAATCGCCAATTGGGTATTATTGCGATCGCCAAACACTGCGTTGGCTGCGTTGCTTAGCTGGCGACCAATTAACCATTAGTGCAACCGGAATTTTTCCTCATTCATCTTAGACTGCAATTAATCAATTCGTCTTCAAGATAATCATCAGTGCAGTAAAAAAAAGTTGTAGCGCAAACGATAAGTAAAAAGGAAAAGAGCTTTTTCATGTTTTACCGCTAAAGAATGCACGCATATTTACTTTCAGTTATGTGAATGGATATCCACGCTGCACGACCGTCGACCGTTCCTCTAGAAACTGCCAGCAATATTGGCATCCTGGCGAGTGCTTCTCCATGTTGAAACATGGCTTCGCTTTTTTGAGCCATTTGCTGCTTGCTGACTTACAACTTTTTTTTGTACTGGATGCATTTTCAATAAATAAAAAAAAAAATAACAAAATTTAGCTCGTTATCCTGTTGGCTTAGTTAGTCGAGAACATCCTTTCGCTGTGGGTGGCGGCCAGTGCTGAGTTGTCATTGAGTTGACTGTTGAAAATAGAAGTCACTTGTGCTAACCTTGGCGCTGTAACAGAATGTGGTAATTTTTTATTAATGTTGTTGTTGTTGCTGTTGTTGTTGTTGCTGTTGTTGTTGTTGCTGTTGCTGTTGTTTTCAATGTTTGCAAATTAACTTAATCGCTGAAATCAGTTTGTTAGCATTAATTGCATTCTTCGAAGATTGCTTGTTGTCTGCGCTCGCAACGCTGCGGCATCCAGGCCCATTCAGCCTATATTTATATATAAATATCGGTAGTGTACATAGGTACACACATACATACATACATATATATGTGCAAGTATTGGCGCATCCTTTGCAGTGGGGGGGTTGCTAATTGAAAAGCCAAAGCCTAAATACCTAAGTACATAAATACATACATATGTACAAGCGGCACCACTCTGAATCTATGTACAGATAAGCATACATACATACATATTTACACCGGTTTTTGGCATACACAGCATGTATATGGATTTACATAGCCATAAGTATGTACGTAAGCTTTTGTTAATTTTTTTTCGCAGTCACATACATATGTATGTATTACTGCTGTCCTCCTCAAACTGTTTGGCCAGTGGGAAATTTCATAGTGGTTGCTGCCTGTCGTGCGATTCTACATATAATCCAACCCCATGGGGTGTGATTTTAACGCCTTATATGCGAATAAGATGCCACACTCTTGTGTTGTTGGCAGCGCTGTACACCCACCCACCAGCTTGTGGACCACCACAAACTCAACCCAACGCACATCAGCTTTGCGGCAGCACATCATTCCACACAAATGCTTTTCACCCCGCTGTGGTCTTCTGTGCACTTCCTTTGAGTTTACTTGACTTGGGTTTATGCTGCTTTTTCGAGCGTTTGTCAGTTCCTTTGAAAGCGTCTACGATGCGCAGCTTCCGATGGCGCATGCGCGCTTTTGCGTAAGCTGTGATGTTATGCCGTCATCGTCATTGTCGCCGACGCAACTGCTGCCGCCACAGCCATCATCAGCACCACCACCACCATCACCACCAGCAAGTCCACCCCAGACTGGCAGACCGGCAGACACAGAACGCTAACATCTTGTGGAATGGCTGAGCTTTGCCGCAGTGGAGCACGATGTGTCGCTGACGGAGCACATCATTCTAGGCCTAACCACAGATCGGAAAGGACATCAGCAGCGTGTAGCAGCATCAGCATCAGCATTAGGCGCCGCCGTGATACCAGCAGCCGCTTAGCTGTGAGAAAGTGCTGGCCGCTTGGACCAACTCAGTTGTGCTTGCAACCTGCCACGATACACTTGTGCAAAATGTAGAACTGAAACATTAAAAAAAAAAAAATTGAAAAAAAAATTTTTTTTTAATATAAATACTAAAAAACTACTCTCAACGGTTGTGCTCATCGATCGAAGATGATTTTTAGTAAAATTACGAGTAACGAGTTAACGGTTTTCGCTTTTAAAAATTTTAAAACCACTAACTGAAATAACCAAGTGCCTTTCGTGTTCCACGTGACATGCCAAGCTAAGAAACACCAGGAGCCTTAAGATG